TTATGCTGTTTTTGTCTTCCCAGCATCCATGTGCCCTCTTTTTGGCATCAACACCCTGATTTCCTTTGGTGACTCATCCATCCCTGAGTTTTCTCCATGGCTGAGATTGGGAGACTTTGGCTTCATCCCCTGGCTCAGGAATGGGCATGTGACCTGGCCTGGCAAATCAGAGCCTCCCATCCCAATGGCCACTGTGATTGGCTCAGGGATGGGCATGTGACCTGGTCTGGCAAATCAGAGCCTCCCATCCTAATGTCCACTGTGTTTGGCTCAGGGATGAGCATGTGACCTGGCCTGGCAAATCAGAGCCTCCCATCCTGATGGCCACTGTGATTGGCTCAGAGATGAGCATGTGACCTGACCTGGCAAATCAGAGCCTCCCATCCCGATGGCCACTGTGACTGGCTCAGGGATGGGCTCAGGACTGAAAGGCTAATGATTCACTGTCTTAGTCCATCTTGGATGTTCTAACAACATACCATAAACTGCGTGGCTTCTAAACAATCAAAATTTATTTCTCACAGCCCTGGAGGCTGGGAAGGCCAAGGTCAAGTGTCAGGCCAATTCATTTTCCAATGAGAACCCGCTTCCCTGCCTGCTGTCTGCTCGCTGTGTCCTCACAGACAGAAGGGGAAGGGAGTTCCTTTTATAAGGGCAGTAATCCCACCATCACCGCCCGAGGGCCCCATCTAACACTCTCACATTGGAGGTTAGGGTTTCAACTTGTGACGTTTGGGGGGGACACAAACGTTCAGTCTATGGCAGGTACTAACCCGAGTTGTTTGCTAGAACCAGTGGAAAGCTCATCTCTCTTCTGGGGTTGCTAACCAAGTAGAAAACAGCCTCAATATTTTGTAATATGATGAAACCACAGGAAAGAAGCCAAGAGTTGAAAAAAAATATAGTTTTCTTTCAAAGAAATTTAAAATTTGAAGTAATTTCAAACATACAGAAAAGCTGTGAGCATAGTACAAAGTTAGCGACATACATTAAACCAGAATTTCCAAGCATAAGCACGACTCACATTTGCTGAAATGTGACATTTTCATGAATCCAATACATTTCATTAAATTGTTTTATAAACCAAGTTTGAACATCCAAGACTCAAGAGAAAGGTGTCATCTTGTTCTTGAGAAAGATATTCTTGAAGGATATCTATCCTTTCAAGAGAGAAAAGTGATACAACTCTCTTCTCAGAAAAAGATTACATATTTTTAATTTAGACCAGAGATAACAAATGGATGTATTCGTTTTGCAGGTAACTCACATAGCTTGGGATAATTGAGCCCAATTTACTTAGCAGTCCTCATTCATGGGTGTCTCCATCCATGAATGTATGGTATGTGTCTGGTACTTTATTGCTAATATGAAAGTACTAGAGTTTGAAATGTTATTTACGCAAACAAATGAGACAGATTGAAGGTTAGCCCTATTTCTCTCTGTACGTTTCTCTCTGGGCCAGGCCTTGTTCTAAAAACTCCAAAGTCTTGGGTAGGAGAGGAAGCAATGAAATGACATCATTTTTTAAAAAAAGGTTTTTATTGATTATTTTTATAGAGGGAAGAAGAGAGAGAGAGAGGAAAACATCCATTGCCTGCCTCCTGCACTCCCCCTACTGGGAACTGAGCCTGTGACCTCTCGGTGCATGGGTTGATGCTCAACCAACTGAGCCACACCAGCCAGGGCAAAATGACTGCCCATTTAATCTGCCATAGTCCCTAGCAACCTACTTACATATGAATTGCAATTAGTTGTGAAAATGACAAATTATTGTGTTATTTTACATCTTTGCCGTCATCTGGTGGTTTTATTAAACTGTAGATGTGTTTCTGATATTGTGCTCTGTGAGGGCATAATATCCACTGTGTGTGTTATAATGGAGAAAATGGGAAACATTGGGCTAGAACAGGTCTTTTTTTGTTAACCTTCACCCGAAGACATTTTTGTTCCCACTGATTTATTTTATTTTATTTTTTAGAGAGAGAGAGAGTGGAAGGGAAGGGAGAGACAGAGAGGGAGAAACATCAGTGTGAGAGAGATTGACCAGAATAGGGCTAGAACAGGTCTTAATAAACCTCTGTAAGGGCTGCCCCAGCCCTAACCCCTTGTGTCCATCAGAACTAATTTGAAAGTGACATTCCAATTAAAACTGGCTTAAACACAAGTGGGAAATTGTCGACTTTTATATCTGAAAGATCCAGAGTTAGAGCTGAGCTCAGATGTGCTGAAATCAGGAGTCAGTCTCTCTCCCAGCTCTTCTCTCCTTCTTGTGGACTCGGTTCTCAGGCCGCATGGTGGCAAGGTGGCTGCCGGCATCCCCGAGGCTCAAATCCAATGGGAAGGAGCCTCTTCCCTAGAAGCGCCTTCAACATGTGCGGGGATTTACTCTGATCTACCCTTGAATCAATCAATCCATCCGTCACCGTTACCAGCATGACACCAGGTGCTGTCCCCAAAAGTGGGGAAAACAACCGCCCTCTGATTCTTGAGAAAACAGATGATGGTATAACAAGGTGGCATGTGTGGTAATGAGTCACTTCAAATCCAAGGAGCCAGGGAAACTGGTTTTCTTTGAGAGGGGACTTCTCAGAAAGTGTCCGTGTGCCGCTTCCTCCCGCGCTTCCCCTGAATAGCGCGGGTCTTGCAACATTACTTCCCCATCATCCTTCGGCCTCACCGTTGTCCCCTTCCTTCAGGCATGCTTTGCCTGACAGCATGTTTCACTCTTGTCTTAAAGGAAACATCTGACTTTCTGGAAGCATCGTTTAGAAATGTGTTCTGCAGTATAATCGAAAACGCTCCTGCAGTTAATTTAGCCAGAAAGTGTGTGTGTGTGTGTGTGTGTGTGTGTGTGTGTGTGTGTGTGTGTGTTTCACAACAGGAAGCCCCAGAAGCCAGACAGTTAGGGGCTGTGGGGGACACAGACTATTTATATGTCCCAGTCCATAATCCTTTGCACATTTTCCTTTATTCTCAGGCCTCTCTTGTTGCAAGATGGCTGTGGTACTCCCTCCTGGCTATGTTCATGATCCCGGCAGAAAGAAGGGAGACCGGCCAAGGCTTTATTTGTTTATTTCTGTGATCCTCACCCAAGAATATGTTTATGGATTTTAGGGAGAGGGGGAGGGAGAGGGAGAGAAAGAAGCATCGATGTGAGAGAGAAACATCGGTCAGTTGCCTTCTGTACACACCTGACCGGGAATCGAACCCACAATCTTTTGGTGTACGGGGGACGACGCTCCAACCAGCTGTGCCACACGGGCCAGGGCCTCAAGGGGTTTTGGTAAGAATGAAATCAACTAATATGTCTAAGACCATTTAGTGAGAGTAGAGACGTCCCTTGCTCACGGCATCCCCCCAGTGCCTAGCACAGTGCCTGGAGTGTAGTGGGAATCTGAGAAAGTCTTGTGGAATGAGTCCCCCTGGACTCTGCATGCCCCAAAGAGCAGGTTCTTGGCACATAGTGGAAAGTGGGTGTCAATAAATGGAAGCTGCTATTATTGCTGGGAGCTATTATTATCGGAACCAAACATGCTTGGGAACAAGATCTTCTTTCACTGATGTCATGCAGAAACGACTCTTTTTGTGAGGGGGAAACCCCTCTTTTATTGAAGAAAGATGTCAGAGTGGAGGCCACGGTCCCTGGTGGAAACTATTATGCCAGATGGCTTCATGGACACACAAAGTTGTTTTGTTTTTCTTAAAAATATACATTTTTATTGATTTCAGAGAGGAAGGGAGAGGGATCAAGAAATAGAGACACTGCACTAGCAGCTAGGGCCTAGCTGGTTTGGCTCAGTGGATAGAGCATCGGCCTGCGGACTGAAAGGTCCCGGGGTTCAATTCCAGTCAAGGCCACATGCTTGGGTTGCAGGCTCGATCCCCAATAGGGGATGTGCAATCAATGATTCTCTCTCATCATTGATGTTTCTCTCCCTTTCTCCCTCTTCCTTCCTCTCTGAAATCAATATATTAAAAAAGAGAGAGAGAGATGGAAACATCAATGGTGAGAGAGAATCACTGACTGGCCGCCTCTTGCATAGAGAGAGATGGAAACATCAATGATGAGAATCACCAACTGGACGCCTCTTGCACGGCCCCACACTGGGGATTGAACCCACAACCTGGGCATGTACCTCCAGGAACACATAACCCTGACCTCCTGGTCCATAGGTCAATGCTCGGCCCCTGAGCCACACCTGCCCGACACAAGGTAAGTTCTGGGCAGAGAATTTGAGGAGGATGATGCTGATGGTGGGGGCGAATGAGTTGGTGGGTAAAGCAAACCAGAAAAGAACCCCCTCCACCCTCTACGAAGCACATCTTGGTCCCATTCTTTCCTGCAAATGTGGCAGCGTTATTCCCAGGGAAAGCCTGAGATGAGATCGATTCCAGGGTCCGACACACGCAAGGCTCGGTGCACAAGAAGAAGGCGATGAAAACAGTCGTGAGAACGTGGCCGAAGAGAAAAACCTAAACAGCGCCGGCATCATCTTTTCAACGATAATTCTGCCAACGGAGGGAACAGGGCTGAAATGTAACGAAAACGCTTTTCCCAGCTGCAGTCTCCTGGCGGAGCGCTGATTCATCCAACAGGCGCGAGGTCAGGGCTCCAGGACACATCCCGGACTGCGGGGCCCGTTCACCGGGCGTCACTGCGGACTTCGAGGCACGTTTCCG